AATAAATTATATCACACCATAGAATAGAAAGTCTAACGGCACACGAGATGAAGACATTTTTTATGACTGTTGTCGAATTCATATAATCATCCATTTGCTTCGAGAAGAAGAACTATGATAACGTGAATATATTTGATAATGCGGCTTGCTTAATGCAGGCATGTCAAAATATAACAGTGAAAGATTCTTTCTGCAATTAAATAACCAGTACCGATCCATACCAATACTGATACTTTCAAACGAACATTACACGCTCACCTATCCATATAAGTGTGTTGTTTTTTGTGGTTGTTTTTTTCTTCTATACTCTCTTCACGCGGTTGTTCTCTTTTCCGCGTGGTGGCACTGTATTTACAAGCCTTCGGTTTTTTTGTGCTTTCCTTTGTTAACAGATGTTTTCTTGGACAGAAATAAACTTTCAAGATCATGCGATCAGCACTTCGAGTACTGGTACTCCTACATGTCTGCTGCATGAAGCAACTGCATAAAAGTAGTTTTTATGCGTCCTTTTCTTATCAACAAAAATTGACAGCAGCAGAACTTTTTATGTTAATAATATTGGGCAAGAAAGACGAAAGAAAGAAAATTTTTATCTCCACGAAAACGACTCGTGTCAAAACAGATTTTTCTTTCTGATCTTATACAACGCATAGGTAAGAAACACGTCATTGAATGAAAGTGAGCAAGGTGAGAAAAGAGAAAAAATATTAGAATAATATAGCGGTGAGAAATAAAACACGTATACGGCGTGGCCAGCTAACTCTGCTGCCATAACGGTTTTTCAGCGTTCTATTTTGTCTACAATTCCTAAACTGACTGCCATAGAGTATAGCGGGACAGCTTAAGTTGAAGAGAAAAGTATAATTAAGATTTTAAAACGTTTTTCAGCGTTACAACATGTATCGTTACGAAGCTGTAACCTAAACATTAGACACTAGTTTTTAGTTTTTTCGAATTTAATTTTTTGCAAAACTAGTGTCTAATGTTTAGGTTACAGCTTCGTAATGATACATGTTGTAACGCTGAAAAACGTTTTAAAATGTTAACTATACTTTTCTCTTCAACTTAAGCTGTCCACCAATAGTGTACGGCGGTCAGTTTAGTAATTATAGGCAAAACAAAATGATAAAAAATGGTACGAAATTCTGTTAGGGGAGCTGGCCACGCCGTATAGGCGATTACGTTTCGGGTATTCCGTAAGACGTAAGAAAGAATAATAAAAACGACTTTATCGATAGAAAAAGCGTGCAGCGTGTCAGTCAAACTACAGAGGTTTATGAACATATATCTGTACAATCAAGGGAGCTCGTATTTCGTATGAGTCGAGTTTTTGTAAGAACGTTCGTCTTATTGATCGTACTCTGCTGTAAACAACAGTTTTTAAAACACATCTATTGCTATGTATATGTCGGAGTTGAGATTGGAATCTAGAGGAATTTGGAATTCGCCTAGGTGAGAATAGAATACAGTATCAATTTTCTTTTGCATAGAGCATATCGTGTCACATCACAGTCTTTTTCTGATTCAATTTATTTTGCAAAATGCAATACTTTTATAATAATAAGTCAGTGATGACATGCATTTGTGCCTCCTGATGGACTTACCAAATTCAGATGTGATCAACTGCGCTGACAAAACGCCGATTCCATCTGCAAATGTCATTTTTTTCGTTATTGGAAAAATAGTTTTTCTTGAATTAAAAAGGACTGTGATGTGACACGATATGCTTTATGCAAAAGAAAATTGATACTGTACTGTACAGTTTCTATACCACTAGAAGAAAAATCTTTCACTTTCTTTTTGTCTGCACGTCACATTTTTCCTTCTCCCTTTCCTATGCAATTTCTTAGCATAAATTTAAATTCTGAACTCAACTAGTCCAGTTTGTCAGTTTACATTGGAATTCTGATCTCATCCAGTTTGGTTTAGAATTCTAACTTCAACTAATTTAGTTAGGCAGCATTCGTATCACAACTAGTTGAAGTTAGAATTCCAATCTCAATCAGTTGAAATTAGAATTCTATTCTCATCTAGGCGAATTCCTCCAGATTCCAATCTCAAATCCGACATACATGCAGACGAGAAACAGATTAAAAAACAACTCCTTGTTGAGAATGGTACAGTTTACATATGCAGATAATATTGTTCTAATTGGTGGTCACAAAGTGCTGCAAATAAAAATTACTCACAGAAAGAAAAAGAAAGAAAAAGAGTTGCTCATTCTGAAATAAATAAACAGAATATGAAAAAAGCACCATTTGGTTGCACATTGAGTATAATAAAGCCGTTGTAAGAATAAAAGAGAACAAACCAGTGCGATGAGTATGTATTGATTACATGATAGTAATTTTGGTGACTTTGTAGAAGAAATAACGAATTTTTATGCATAGGAAAAAGTCGACTGAAGTATCGATCAGCATCAGTATCGATCAGCCCCCTCACAATGTTTTGCTGAAGAGCTGTATCCTACGGAAGGAATGCATAGATTGATCGAAGTTGTGCAAACGTTATTCCAATTGCTTTTTATTTTAGATCAACACTTTTTTTGAAACAGAAATGAAAAAGTCATCATTAGATGGTTTGATCTTCGTTCTCAATCTCAATGATAACATTGGATTTAAAGAAAAAAAGTCGTTAATCAAATATCTACGGGAACAAAATGCCAAGCTTTCATTTATCTTAACAGCCAGTGTAAGCAGAGCTCCCCCTGTTTTAAGATAGTTTATATATAAGATTCTGTAATAGTGGCTGTGTTTAGACCGATTACGTGTTGGTTAATCGAGATGTACAAGAAACGTATAAAGTTCGACGAGCAAGGCAACTGGGAATACCTTTGTTAAATGCTGAATATATTTACGAATGTTGGCGTCATCCCGAAAAAACAATCGATCCGAACGTATACTTGGTTTTAACGGCTCAAAACAATGAAAATTTTAAGTATGGAAAAGTACAGATTGAAGGTAACGAAGAAAGAGAGAATTAACAACGGTCTTATGCTCGGTACTATATGCTAATAAAAAGTTCGACAAGACTTTTTCTCACCGAGCAAAAATGTTGATTTATAGCTTCAGAAGCACTGTTCAAACGAACTGGCGGTAGCAGGTTGTAATGAGGTTCCTATTTAGGTTATTTTACCCTAAACTGAAAAGCTTCTATCCTCTGGTTGAAATGCACTTGTCTTTTTGATCAGGTTTCATCCAATCCTCTAGGATCACGAAAGCCCGGTAAAAAGTAAGGCTTTCGTAACACGTTAAAAAGACATAAATTAAAAAAAAGCAGGGCTTTCGTAAAAATAATGCAAAGGGATTAATGTCTCAGTACATAGAGCATCTACTAGGCATTAATCCCTTGCATTATCGTTACGTAGGCCCTGTTAGTGATCTTAGTGACTGACTATTTCATAGAGAGGATATGATCCGATTAATAGTGTTACGAAGGTCCTGTAAAAACAGATAAGAAAGCCCTGTTATTTTTTTAGTACGAATCAAACGTCACCGTCTTTTTCTTCTATTTCTGCAAGTTTATGAATTTTTACTCAGGTAGCACAAAAAAATCTCCAAATACTGCTTCTAAAAAGACCAGACGATTCGATATTAGTAAAATAAAAATTTGGAATCATGATGATATAAGTTTGCCAAGGTTTGATGAAATAAATGCTGAAATTGCGAAATGGGCAATATTTCGGGTAAGAAAACTTGGCTTTTGATGACAGGATGAGGAGTAGCACTGTCGTATTGTGTTTAGGAAATGAATGAACATTCGTTTGTTTATTTTGTTCTTGAAATTCAAGTTTTGAGTCAAACTAGTGAAAGAGAATATCGAATGAGATTTTATTATGAAAAACAAACAATCGCAGAAGAGCGAGTAAGAAAACGAAGTACATATTTGTTCATTTGGTAATATCTTTTTTTTGTGTAGAGGGGAAATCCAACAATCATTCAGTATATGTACAGTAATGACGTAAATGAACAACTGCAATTGTTTGCCTTCTATTATGATCGCATTGCCACAATGCCTCGTGTTACGAAAATGAAAGACATGTTACCAAACACTATCGGTTCAAAACTACTTCTTCGAGTAGGTAGTCGAGGTAGAGAGAGGCACTCCGAACTAGCGGAAAACCTAACCATATGTAAATCTTTCAAGAAAAAAAAGGAAAACAACAGATTTTATTTTGGTAGACTTTTAACGCAAAGGTACCGTTTACACCTCTATATTTGTGTCTTTTTCAGGTGTTATGGTGTCATAGAATCGATACACAAGTTATTGATGACGACATTTGTCAGTTGATAGAATCAGTCTGGCTAGAATCAATGGGTGATCTTAAACAAATGCTCAATGTTCAACCGGAAACAATAACATTGAAAAAAGTATGCATATTCAAGGCTGAACAGAAAATAGGAAACAAATTTGAGTTTTGTTTTCAACACATAAGCCTACACAGAAGAGCATTTCGCAGAACTGCATTCAGAACGTTTTTTTCATAAGAAAAAGTTTCTTAAAGTCAGAATCGAGTCAAACTTTAAGTCAGCGTGTTTCGCAATTGCTTCTTTTTGTTCCAAGGCTTTCTCATAACTGACTCACGGATCCTTTTCTTGTTTGTTAAGTTTCTCGCCGTTGAAACATGGTACTTGATTTTCTCTCACAAGCTGACCTTTTTCCATCAGAATTTCTAGGAAAATGCCGCTCAGGAAGAAGTTCTCGAAGTGGGTTTTTAATTTAATTCCAGTACAATACTTAAACCTCTTCAAACCTCGTATGTATAACAAAAACAACGGCTTTTTTCTTTTCTTTTTAGTAGTAACATTTTACCAGGCGCATTTCTACTGTTGTTGAGCGTGCGATGAAACTGGTGTTCAGTTTAGTTTTTCTTTACTTTTCTTTTTCTGTTTGGATTGTTTGCACATGTGCTCAGTCTATCAAATTGTTATTCCTAAAACTTCGTACATCTTGTTACTTCTCTTTATTTAGATCATCGAAGCAGAAGCTGTTTTATTAGAACAAAAAGGTTTATTAGAAAACAACGCCAGCGACGGATCATCCGATTTGACTACAAAATTCTATTCACTTATACCACACAACTCAAATTTCAAAAGTGATTTAAATAATCGTCGAATATTACGCGAAAAAATGGATTTATGTCAAGTACGTTGTTGCTCTTGTACGGTCTGTGGTGTGGTTATTTGAAACATTCGTTTGTGTATAGATGCTTCGTGACATGTTAACGATCAATGAAATGACCGACTGGAATGTTAAAGCTTCTATTGAAGCAAAATATCGTTCAATGAAATGTTACATAAATACACTAAATAACGCTTCATTAGAATTTAAGACAATATGTGATATGATTTGTTCTTCATCGACAGAGCCGTATGTATTTCCCTCTCTAAGTACATGTTGTAGAGTTTTGATGTCAATGGCGTTGTGAACGTTTCACACTTCAACATCAAACGAAATTGATGAATCTTTCCTACATTTACAGAAATGAACAAGTAATTATTCACAATATCTTTGAAGTGATACGACAAACAGAATCGATTAACTTTAAAACAGCACTACATAATCAACGTCAACTATTTCACGGTTCAAAATACAGTAATTTTCTTGGGATTTTATCAAGGTATACCATCTTTTCTTGTCTGTAGTACAAAATCATAACTTAATTTTTTTTTCATAGAGGTTTATTAATGCCAAAGATAATTGTTAATGAACTGGGCGGAACGAGAAGCGACATCGGGCATTTGGGCTATGGTCTTTATTTTTCAGATTCAGTGACGTAAGATGCTTTTTGATACGACGAAAGAGTTTTAGAAAACAGATATTTTTTGCATGTAATACATCGAAATTTTGGTGCTGATGCACTTTGTCAGTTACCAAAGAAAAGAAAAGGAGCGTAAAGATTGCAGAGAAGCACAGCAGGAAAGTGTTGTTGCATATAAGCAAATACCATATTAAGTCATTTTCTGCGTCGCTAAAAATCTATCGACATTTTTTTCCGTCATCGTAGGTCATTTTTGAAGCAGTGAGAAGCTGCGCACTTTTTAAACTAATAAATTTTAGAATATTGATATGAGCAATGCACACTTATGTAATCTTGACCGTTATTTCTTGTTTAATTATTTTTAGTACATCACTGAAATACACAACTAAGAGTAACCAAAACGGTAAACGATTACTTTGTATCTGTAATGTGGCTCTCGGAGATAGTGCCAACTGTTATTCACATTCGTCAGATTTATTACAACCACCAAAGAATTTCAATAGTGTTCATGGTGTTAGAATGACAAAAGAAAATCAATCAACATTTGAAGTATTTCTAAGAATTATTTTACTTTAAAATGCACTATGAAGCCTGAACTGTCTCGTCTAGGATAACGAATATGCAATTTATGATCTCGATCAACAGCGTCTGCAATATTTGGTTGAAGTTTCATGGAAACCGCACGATGTGATACCCGACAATCCGATAAAAGTGCCTGTCGTAAAAGATCAAACAACAATCAATCGAGAAATACCGATGACTGAGAGTATGCAGGTTCAATGTTCTATTATTTCCTGCTATATTGTGTTTGAAGTGTTCTCATTTTTACCTATAGCGCTAGAATTGTTTAAAGATGAAAAGATAGAAATTGCTGAACAAGATTATGGTCTAATCTCGTCCAGAACTGGTCAACGATTACCATTAAAGCAAATGCACTTAAGAGCAAGATTAGTCGATGTTACTGGTGAAGTAAGCTTAATTTTTTTTCTCATGCTTTCTCTGCGTGTGCATGATATCCTTACCGATTTCGGTTTTTAATCGGTTATCCGAAACCGATCATAATCGATAACTGAACATCTTTTTACTTGCACAGATTCTTGAAAATACATTTATAACAGTAGAAAGGAACGTCTGTTGTTCAATCAAGAAATCAAGTTCTTATAGCATGGAGTTGTCGTATGACATGAGTTTGATAGAGCAAACATTTCTCTACAACCCTACACTATCAGAAAATTTATTAGATTTCAAGTCTGGCCAGGGAAGGTCAAAAACCAAAACCTCTAAAAATCGGTTTTTTTGGCCCGAAACCTATCTTAAAACTTCTCATATTGTGTTCTCGTGCAGCCGATGTTGTAGAGCATGTCGAGCTACCTTTGTGTACCAATTTTGAGCATCACACGACTTCGAGAACGAAAATTTGAAGTTTTCGATAAATGTCTCATAGGCTATGATCATATGCACTAAAATGAACGTACAAACTTCGAATTTTCGCTCTTGAAGTCGTGTGATGCTCAAAATTGGTACACAAGGGTAGTTTGACATGCTCTACAACATGGGCTGCACGGGAACACAATATGAGAAGTTTTAAGGTAGGTTTCGGGCCAAGAAAACCGATTTTTAGAGGTTTTGGTTTTTGGCCTTCCCTGGCACCAGAAGCTTCTAACAGCGCAAACCACACGTCTCTAGCTACTTCCGTTGAGAAGTTATTCAAGTTGCAACCAACTGCATTGTTCTATGAAATGGATAGTAATTTCTGACCCAAAAAAAGATGAAAAATTTTTTCACATCAATTTAAGAGGCCAAATTAATTTAAATTCGTTTACATCAGTTTCGCAGTTAAAATTTTGTACTTTAAATTGCTTCAAACTAATTTCTACTCCCAAATTCATTTAGACTAATTTATTTTGAATGAGTTTGAAATAATTTTAACCTCTCAAATTGATGTGAACTAACTTCGATTGCTCACGTTCATTTAAATAAATGTTTTTGTAATAGATTTGTAATAATTTTGTTAATATAAATTAGTTTTAATTAATATTGAGCATTTAAAAAAAATATTGAAATATTCATCAACTATTTGAACTAACTTAGTCTCAAATCAGTTTAAATTAATTTTTAACCGAAAATTAATGTAAACTAATTCCCACGTAAATTGATTTAAATTGGTTTAAAATCTAAATTAGTTCCAACGAATTTTTAATTTAAAATTATTGTAAATTAATGCTTTTCAAAATCAATTTAAACCACTCTAAAATCAGAAATTCGTTTAAATTAATTTAATAGGAGGTTAACAACGATAAGTCTACAAAAATTAATTTAGATTAATCTTAAAGTGAAAATTGTTTTGAATTAACTTTTTTCGGATTAGTGCAAATCGTTTATTACTAAATTGAGTTAAAGGAATTTGGAAAAACATTAGCTCAGATTAATTTGACTTTCAAATTAGTGTAGAGTTTTCGAATTAATGTACACTAATTCGAAGCTCAAATTTCGTGTCACTTAATTTAATATGAGACTTTGTGTAATGCGCTCACAAGGGAAATTAATTTTTTCACGAAAAAATTAATTAAAATGAATTTCAGTATTTTTAAATTGATGCACATTAATTGTAACTGATTTTAGCTGGTTTTAGCTAATTTTTAATTAAATTAATGTGAACGACTTTCCTTTTAAATTTGTTCAAATTCCTTTAAATCTCGAAATTAGTTTGCATTAATTCGAAAGTATTTAAAAGTTCCAATGGGTGTACTTTGGATCCAACACTTTTCATGGAAATCTAGGGAAAAAAGTTATTTTGAAGACACCTTTATTTTTTGAAAAATTTCATTTATTATAAAATAACTTTTTTCCTTAAATTTTTATGAAAAACGTTGAGTACAAAAAACGACCGGATGATTGCAATGAGATCAAGAAAACGTCAAACATTTGTTATTATTATTGTCACATTTGTTCAACTTCAATCAACATGCAATTAGCCAGCTCGATTTGTTGAAAAACAAAAAAGTTTAGATTAACTTTTAAAAAAAAGCTTTTCTATGAGCCATGTGTCACATGGCCAGAGCAAAAGAATTGTTGTTACAATAAAAAGAATGGTTATAGCGACGATTTAAAGGTTATCGGTTCTGTCATCGGTTAACCAAAACGGTTGCATACCTAATCGTTAGGCGGACTTATGAGTCATTAAAATATTAGAACACTTCAGAGAGTTTTTCTCTGTGTTACAAGGTAGAAAGTGATCTGTCTTGCAAAATCAGTGTAAATAGAAGTGATAGTTTTCCATCAGATGGTCTTCTGTTATATTAAATAGTTAGGATATGGTCTAACTATCTGGGTTAAAAGACGAATTTTGACCACTGGAATTGATTGGATAAATAGTTTATAGAAATTTTAACTTGATTGTTTAGCTTCCTATTTGAAACAACCGTCGGATTCTTCCGATCGTTTCGAGAAATTTATACAGAGGGTGCTAATTGTGTGTTTTCTCTGAAATGGGCTCAAAATTCCGAGCGAGCTTTTCAAGTTAGATCTAAAAGATTTCTGTAAACTTTTCGTTTAATCAGTTTTAGTCCTCCTGATTCGTTTTTGATACCGTTCAGCTTGACACTCTGTAAGCTAGTGTTTTTTAGCGATCTGGGCGCACGAGAATTTTCAGCGTCATGACCGCATTTCTTTTAGAACTTCCAAACAAAAATATGGATAAGACTTGGGAATGCGGCATGCACTTTATTTAGTAAACTAAATACACGCAACTGTTTCCTTATCGTCTATTTATCTGTCTATATTGCATTATTCTGTTCTTTTACTGTTTTAGGTTATATTATATCAACTTTATCATAATAATAACATACAGCCGATTGAAGCAAAATATGTTTTTCCGTTGGATGAGCATTCAGCTATTTGCGGTTTTGAAGCACATATAAATAATAAAGTCGTTGTGGGAGTCGTCAAAGAAAAACATCAAGCTAAACGAGAATATCGAGAAGCAGTCGAGCAAGGTCATGGCGCTTATCTGTTGGATCAGGAACAACCAGTATGTACTAATGTGATGACGTTAGATCATCAACAAAGCTTCTGTGTTTTTTCAATCTTAAAGGACACAAATTCATTGGATGAAAGTTTCGGGCTTTCCTTTTTTCTATGATTCACTAGTTTATCTATGGGATAGATATTGCTGTGTGAATATCTCAGTAACTAACTGCTAATACTTAACGAATACGTCGAAAAGTGCACGAAATGAGCGTCTTTTTATCATTTGCAAATACATCATGAAGAGATGAAACAGATAGTTAACACTAGTTATAAGGATTGCTTTCCTTTTCTTTTGTTTTATAGGAAGTATTTAGCGTTTCCGTTGGAAATCTTCCTCCGAATTGCGAATGTTTGATTAAAATCACGTACGTAGTCGAATTATCAATTGAAAATGATGATATCGTTTTCCGTTTGCCTGCAAAAGTTGCTGCTTGGCAATCAAAAATATCTGTTGAAGAACAAAATCAAGTAAGTATGAAACGAATTCACGACAATGTACTTTGTAAAGTGTTGAAAACTATTTTTTTTCTTAATTTCTATCTCAAACTCTTTCTGAACAGTGTCGTTTTCTAATAACCAAACGTTAGTTCAATAAAATACGCTTTTGACTTCGATAAATTTAGTGAAAGTTGCCACTTAATACTCATTACAAAGTATAGCTTTAAGCATTTAGAATCCGGACTGCAGCTTTGTGACTTTAACGTTGTAATGTTTTACTACTATTTCACCACTGTTGAATGTTTTGTTAGGCATTATTATCACGAGGAAATACAATTTGTTACGTATACTATCTTTTCTGATCAACACCACACGATTACTTTCCTATAAATATCGGTATTTGCCACAAAGTCTACAGTACCTTACCTACTATGATCCTTTTTACCGAGCGTTTTCACTTTTCGAGAACTTTGCTAATGGTGCTTTGGCATTCGTTTCGTTTTAGACGGTGTTACCATTCGTTGGACTGACATCTACGACTCATTCGGGACAGATCGAATTCAGTCTACAAGCCTTCGTGCAAATGCCATACGATATCCAAAAGCTATATTCCCCTACACATCGTCTTCGTCGAAAAATCACTGATTGCCAAGCTATGATTCAATTGGTTGATCAAGTTTTGACTAAAGATTTCATTTTAGCGATATCGCTGAAAACTATTCACCAACCGAGAATGTTAGTTGAAACGCATCCTTCGGACTCAAAATCAAAAGTTTGTATGTTAACATATTATCCACAATTTGATTCTGAGTCTCAGAGTCCCGTCGAACTCATCTATTTAATCGATGTATCGAATTCCATGGACGGACAGACCATGAAACAAACAAAACAATTGGCACATATGTTTTTATCAAATATGACGAGTGAAAATAATTCGAATACTGTCTTCAACGTTATTACATTCGGGTCAGATAATGATGAATGTTTCCCAATATCTATTCCCTCGACTAGAGAAAACATAGATAAAGCAAAACATTTTATTCTTCATTCACTCGTGCATCGTGGAAACACTGATCTGTTTTCGGTTTTACGACATTATTCGCTGTTGCCATCATATGATCAAATAAGAAATTTTGTTTTGATTTCCGATGGTCATCTAAATGATATGAAAGCCATTGTTTCCCTATTAAAATGTCATCAAATGAAAAAGGATCGATTTTTTACATGTTCAGTTGGTGAAACACCTAATAAACATAATTTAAAACAGCTGATAAATTCGACAAGTGGCGGTGGAATCGCAACAGTGTTTGATAGTAATTATCGATCGAAATGGAAAACAAAAGTAAGTAGAAGCGAGTAACATTCTGCAGCAAGGTGAGCTTGTAACGTTAGTCTCTGACAGGCTTTTGTATCACTGATCATGTTGTTCGCACAACTCTACGTATCCGCTGCTCTGCTTTTTAGCATTGATTGCATTCTCACGGCCCTCATGACGATTGATTTGGGAAAAGAAAGACAAACGAAACAAAAATCTCTCAACTTCTATTATGTGTAATCCAGTTTTGAGCTAACGATGCTCTAGGTAGAAATCTGGGCAGCCTTGAGAGATGTGGAAGTAGTGTTAGTATTGTTTGTCTGTGCTTTGTCCGTTTTAGAAATTTGGGAAAATCTAGTTCTATGGAATGTCTTACAGCTGTTTCGTTCTAGAAGTCACTAGTAATATTTTTAAAACTCTCGAAATGACAAGGACCAGGTATTATTTTTATTATTTTTCAGTGAATACGGTTTTTTTGTCGGGTATATTTTCCTGCGTTACGATCCCATAATCTCATTACGGATTTAACGGTGCGATGTCGCTCTTTTCCACTGCTTTTTGTTCAAGATTGATCTGTTCTGTTTGTAGGTACTGCATATTTTGGAAAATACTCGTCAACCGTGTGTTAATGATATTGTTATCGACTGGCATAATGAAGATGAAAATAATAACATGTTACCATTTCAGCAAGCACCACAACATATTCATTCCTTATTTAACGGGCAACGTTTAACTATCTATGGTTTCATTAATGATTGTTACAAAGTAAGGAGATAATGACAGGGGGGGAGGGGTCGGATCGATGGGAACTAGAACGTTTTTAGTTAATTTTTGTTTTAGGCAACTTTAAAAGCCAATGTAAATGGTTATGAATTAAGCACAACTGTTTTCTCGAGTAAAATGACTGAAACGACAGGAAAAATTCTTCATTGTTTAACCGCTCGGGCTATAATTGATGATTGGGAAAACGGGCTGTTGTATATAAATGATACTGAAAATGAAGTAAGTTTTCAATTTTTTTCTTATAATAATAATATTGCCATATCATATCAAATAACCCTCTTCCTTTTCCATTAGTTAGTAAAATCTCAATATAAACAGCATATAATCGATTTAAGTTGTAAATATTCAGTTGTTAGTCCGTTTACAAGTTTTGTGGGGATTGAAGAGCGAAATAATGTAACTGAACATCAAACAGAAAAAGGTAAGGCTGTTGTAATAGACTTTCTCAAGTGAAGAGAAAGATTCTTTGATGTAAGAAGATTTGTTAAAAGAAAAAGCTAAGCTTCTGGGCTGTTTTATTAGAAGCAAAAATCAAAACGGCCAAAGAACACTCGGACGCTACTGAAGAAACTTTTGCAACTGGGTACACTGGCGAAAATCATTACGTGTTAGCAAACTCGCTAAGGCAGAAAGTAGAGTTCTATTGAATTTACAAGAAATCGTACTTGATGAGTGCTTTTCGAATTTTGTTTTGGTAAAGTGCCGGCAACTGGAAACAGTAGCAAAATCTTTCGCGCCTTTTCTTTTGGCATGACTAGATAGAGTTCATTGCGTTACTTTTCAATGTTAACTTAATTTTTTCAAAGTTCTCATATGTACACAAAAACTTAAAAGTATTGAAATTTATGAATGCAGTCAAGTTTAATGAAATTTTCTAAAATAAGCTTTATATTGTTCCATTTTACTTTATTTTTAAAATTCTAAAATTGTTTATTCTGATTTCCCATGTAAAATTGGGAGTAAAAGAAACTTAAATTGACATTTTTGAAACAAAAAATGATCAATGAATTAACAAATATGAGTAGAACTGGTAATTTTACGAGAATTTTTGAAAATTTTCAATAAAGATCTTACTATACTTTTTCTTCATTTATTCTTTTAAGAATTCATCCACTGGATATTATGTACGAAAATGATGTTGATCTTTTACCGTATCTATACTGGGATGGAGACGAGTCAAGAGTGAGTGCCTTATCTACATTGTTTAAACATCGCCGGTTTTTTATTTAAAAGCATCGGAAAAGACTTCTCTTCGTGTCGTTACCTGATAGTTTTTTGTGGTTCTTTTCTAGTCGATCACAATTCAACGACAAATATTAAGCATAAAAGAGGCAATTGATTCTTCCCCGATTATTCGGAAAGAAAAACTATGCAATGAATTACTCTTGTTATGTAAACAGCTACCATACGCCCAACAACAAAATGAGAAATTCAATACAATGTTAGCCCTCGTTGATACCTACAGATATTCACTGAAAAATAACGAACAAGCACAAAGTTTAGTGAAACAAATGCAAGCTGACATTGAAAATGAATTAAGCGCAGGAATTGGAACTGTAGATGAACAATTAAATTTAAAATTACAATGGAGAAAACTTAATGACATGTTTCCAGACAGTTAGTATTAAATCTTTCGCATACTCTCAAAGGCACAAGGATGTGAATCCGCAGTGTTTTTTTATAAATTTGCCCATCATATCCTCGTTAGTTCTCGGAACATTTCCTTCTCTCTATGGTTAGTATATTACGCACCCAGTTTGGATCAGTCGCTGACTCTTTCTCGCCACTGCTAGAATACTCCCATTGCAGCTTTTAGCTGGACGTATTAAGCGGTTTGATTCCGACAGTATTCTTTTAGAATATACTGACAGGTGTTTTATTGAAATTTTTAGCAATCTCTTTGTCTTTTTTAGTAACCGGCGAAGCAATGGAAAAATTGGAAGTAGCATCCTTGTCTGAAAACGACTATACAATAACAACAAGAGAATTAGGTCAGTTGATGCATGATGATCTACAGTTACTTCTCATTATTAATTCAAACTGTAATTCTCTAGAAACACGTTTCAGAGTGTGTGATCAAAAGTCGATGGAAAACGGATTGCAAAGTTTGATTCATTTGGCTAATGCGACGTCGTGTCTGGTGTCTACGTCTGAGACATCATCATTGTTTATAACCACTCATGGGATACCATCAGCCCAAAAAAGGTCTGTTTTTACGTTATAACTTAAGTAAAAAAAGAGCTAGTATTGACATATGAAAAACTAAAGGAACTTTGACATAGAAGTTAAACGCTGAGTCCGATGCTGCTTAGAAAGCACAATGACATCGAAGACCCAGGCTTGAATAGTAGCCTTTCATTGCAGCAGATCATCAAATCTCAGAAGTGGTGGCTTGAACCGTTTCATCAACAATAAAAGAACAAGCGCTACGCTGCTCTAGTTCAAACAAAAATGCTCTGCAAAATAATTGTTGGTAAATGCAACTTACTAGCGTCAGTTCTTAAATTTTATACTTTGCTCCTCAAAAAATGCTGCCGGCCGTTTTAAATTCTTACAACAAGGTCGATTCATTTCATATTTTTTGTTGTAGTGCTGATCCTGAAGATGAGCGTGGACCTACTTGTTATGGTCCGACACATCCAGAATATTTACGATCGCAATTAGAAAAAGCGAAATATTTCCGTGAAAATTTAAATGAACCAGAACAAGCTAAAAATCTAGCTTTGAAAGCATTTGAAAATGCTATTAGTGAATTAGATACATTAAGTGAAGATTCTTATAAAGACTCAACTTTAGTTATGCAATCTTTAAGAGATTTTGTTCAGGAACAGGAACTAACAGGTGTGCAATTTGTTTGTATTGATGACTAAGACCTTGACAGGAGGATCCCGTGGAGAGGGAAGCCACATATTCTCTCTTTGGAAGGTTAAGAAAATTCAAAATTTCAGCGCCTCTTCTTTCTTCGATTTTTAGAATCTCTCACCCTAACTATGGCGCAATTATCGCAAGTGCAGAATGATACTTATGCTGTTGAAGAAAGAAAAGAAAGTTCTAATATGGATCACGACGCTGCATTCATGATCTTTGATACACCGATACAGTAAATTTCTTCTTGCTTTTTTGAGTACATTTATCACGCGCATGTTTTGTTATCTGTTTTGTAGTGATAGTGTTGAAGATGACGAGGGCGATTCGGATAGAAGGGTATACTCTTATTCTGTTAATGATGTTGAGAAGAAGGATACTGATGATTTGAATAAACTTAATTATTCCAGTGACTTTTACTTCAAGATGCCGTATAGTTATTGTGTGGAGAAAGAAAAATCACTGACAGAACAATTACAGAATGATACTTTAGAATTACAAAAAACAACAGTGCAAGAAATGGCAACTACAGCTGTCGAGGTAAACAGCGAAAGTATTTCGGCCGCAGAAGAGGGCACGTAAGGTGGAGACAGCGGCGTTTACCAGTTGATGAAGTCTGCGTAGAGCTTTATTGAGCTGTAATTTCTTTCCAAACAGTCTCAATCGGGACATTATAAAAAGCACTAACTAGAATTGTCTTTTCCTCGATTTTAAGTTGGACAGTCTAGAATATTTAATAAACGTGGAGTTCGCTTTCCTGTGGTGTTCTGTCGAATGAGGATTCGTCAGTTGCAAACCAGAACTGCACTGATAAACTCTCCTTGGTTATCCTTGACAAAATAAACACCTGTCCTTCTTTCTAGAAATCGCCCATGTCATCGATACAGCACGATAGTCTACTAACTAGTGCATCTTTGAAACTCAAACCACAACGGCGCCAACATGTGCGGACATTAGTTATTCCATCAGAACCAGAAATCCACCATTCAATGAATATCCCATCGACTTGTCCCGCTGTCGCGATTCCATATTCCACATCATCAGTGCAGTTATCAGGTTCACCAACAAGAGCAGCACTACCAGCACCACCACCACCACCACCGCCGCCAAAGTCTTATTCCAATGAATTAACGTCAAAAAACATGACGTATTCTTCGCATCAACATCTGATTGGGGCTGCTGAAATATCATCCAAACCTCTACAACGAACGCAACGTCCACAAAATCAAACCCCATGGACAGCTCGTTACAGCAGTCAACGTGTTATAAAAACCGTTCCCTCCGTGGAAGCGATACCACAACTGAAAAATTATCATTCTTTTTATAAAGAAAGAATCCAATCCGTTCCATATTTAGTTCAACAAAATATGACTTGTGTGCCAACAATGGCTCGTCCTATACCACAGCTACCACCCGAATGTCAACCGCAACCATTAAAAGATTCAAATAGGAAAGTCCAGCAACCAGAATTGGGGTTAGTAATTGATTATGCTAAATGGAAACAGATTGAAGTATTGGATGATGAAGACGATACACATCCATGCATTGGTACATCAAGTTTAAGACCTTGGCGTCCTCACTCTCGAATTGAATCAAAGAAAGCAGAAGTACGCATCACACACAGTGTTCTATCATTGCTAATATTTTTTTAACGGCTTTTTAGGTACTGCCGTTAAGTTTAGGTGTAGAAATTTATGACGGTCTGATGTTGATATTATTTGATAAAAACACGCATGTTCCAACAGGACAACAAAAGTTTGGAATATTTACGAATGCTCATCGATATCAACAGACAGTTTCAATTAAGTTGTATCAAGGAGAAAGCCGTTTTACAAAAGACAATGTACGTTTGGAGTTTATTCTGCCCCAGAAAAGCGTTTGTTTTGGGTGACTTTTGCAAGCTGTTCTTCATTGTTCTTACCCTCCTAGCTGCGCAGCCTAGCCTCTTTGCCATTTAGTACTTCTTCTCCCTCTGGGAAGCTAAATCCACACTAATAAGGAGCTGAAGCTAAAGGAAAGTTCACAGCAGCGGACGGCTGGATAACATAGCGATTGTATAAGGAAGTCCTATAGTAGTAAACTAAGACTTCCGCTGTTTGTCTTCAAAAATTAAGAAATAATGGAGTTTCACGAAAAACTCAGATAGCATCAGTTTACCTTCGAGGTCGAAATTTGATTTCTATACCATTCTCGCAGAAAAGGGTTGGAAATGTTCTCATCTTTTAAGTGGCACATGTTTCGAATAGTTGATTATTATTAAGATATTTGTTGCTGAGTTACTCCTCGAGAATCTACAGTTAAACAGATCACTCCAGCCATTACAGATAACAATCACAATTTATTTCAGTGATCATGTTGCATTAACACTAATAGCTGATATTCACAATGGTGAAACAAGGTCGATCACAGTATCAAGTGATAAAAGTAGGTTGTTTACTGAGCAAAATTTTTCCACAGGTAATTTCTTTCCTTTTTTGTCTTCAGTTCGTTTACCGGAGAGTGCAATTGAACAGTATTTACAGTCATATATTGAAGTACCAGGTACGTACTTTTGAGTTGAGAGAGTTCTAGTAGGGTCAATCTTGAAACTTTCAAAATACAAGTCAAAATTTCGTACATTCGCCGCTTCCGAATCAAACGTTTTTCGGACGCATGTGAATGCGAGCTGATCGCGATGTTCTGATCCTTAGCACTGAAATTTTGTTTTCTCTTTCTGTAGCAATGAAATATTCTAACGATTCAACTTATCTTGCTTATATGGTAAGAGATTGTAAAAAGTTTATCAAAGATTAAGAAAAAAAAACTACTGTATTGTTACTTTTGTTACTAGCTCGATGGACGATGTGATATGAAAGCCTTAAGTGTTGCTAGTTCAAGTAAGCCCACCCAGAATCTCAAGATGACCGTATTTTATTATTCTTTTTCAAAGATGGTGAAAATACTGCTCTTCTTTGTGCCATGAAAACGACTGCATTGACAAGTTCTTTAATAGATGCAATATTCAAAATGCAAAATGAAGTGAGTTGTTAGAGCGACTAGTCGCTAGTAGAGTTGCGACTCTGGAATTATATATATCATTTATGTGTCTATGTCTTATTATAGGATGGTTCATTTTCGTTTTCAAACGAATTACAAAATTTATTTCAAAATGTTAATTTTAAACAATTACAAGAAAGGCATACAGAAATTGGATTCAGTTCTTTGCGTATGTATATACAAACCAGTTGTACTGGCTCGTGTGAAGTCATTCAGAAATTCATAAGCGTACTCAGAAATACGCCCTAACAGTTCAGTACTGACAATAACGAAAAACCGTACCTGGGACGGTAATAGTTTTTTCCATCTTCCTATACGCTTCCTAAAGTATGCAAGACTGTTAGATAACATTCATCTTGAAGGAGACCTGTGAAACATGCAAACTAATGCTCTTTCTTGCTGTCTGAATTTTTTTTCTAAGCTTAGTTGTTCAACTACGGAAAGCGAGGTAATCTGTCTTTTTCTTTTGTTCAGCTAAACAAATTCAAACTGATATCAACAATTTGATCTGTACGCTGGTGATCGTAATTGATTTCATTTATCATAGTAAAAAGATGAAACCATTCATGTTATCTATTGATATGGATATGATAAAAATGGTAAGTTGTATGTCTCTCTTCCTCTCTTGTCGTTTGTAAAGTTTTCGTTTTTCTTTCAGATTTCGTTGGAACACGTAACTTTGTCTGCTGACGAGAACATCCGACTTCAAAAAGCAATTGATTACGTCACACAAACTCGGCAAAAATATTCAATATATTGTACAACTTTAGAGTTAGGAAAAACATTTGAATTTTATGTACAAACATTAATGGGTCTCATCTAAAACGATCAGATATTTTTATTTTGGTGTGACTTGTATTCGGTACCTTCTTCTCTCATCTAAGTGACAACAAATGTACAGAAGACAGCTCCGATAATTTTCTTTTTAGTTTGATACTATTATTGAGATGACCAAGGATCGCATTTTCACTCTTTTCCCTAGAGAACGTACTTGGGGCCAAGCACTTGGACCAAGTACTTCGTCTGCGTAATGAAGCCGGTACTTGCCTTTTTCAAGAAGTAAATTTACTTGTAAGTACTTGTCCTTACCTGTCAAGTACTTTCAGAAAGTACTTCTTAGCAATAAGGCAAGTCTTTCGATCATTGACAAGTACTTAGCAAGTAACCAAGTACTTGCACCAAGTACGTTCTCTAGGGTTATCTTTCTCCTATTGAGAAGGAAATATAGTGTGTTCTTTGATCTGTTGCAGTAGTTAAAGTGAAAATATCTGTGTAAAAGATAGGGATGTCTACTTAACATTAGATTCTCAAATAACTAGTAATTATCGAGCTACCCGTTACTGACGGTAACTGTTGAGTTACTTTTAATTGCGTTTATTTATTTTGCCTTTTTAATGAAAATGTTTTGTTTCATATATCTGTGCAATAAATGGCAATCTTGAAACTTCTTTACTTTATACACAGCGCATTTTTTTCAGTTTTATCACTAGGAATTTCATTGGTTCAATTATGAATTAAAAGATTCTGAAGTATTGAATCACTAATCAAATGTGTCAATATTTTGAAAAGGATGTTTAGAAGGAATTTATGCATTTTTGCATAAACTAATTTATGTACTGACAGAATGCGATGGCAGTGCAGTTATCATTTTAGACTAATATGTTCCATACGACTTTGAATATTTTGCCAAACAGAGGGTACGAAATTCGTTCCTAATCCTCTTAAGGGTGACAAAAAAGGAAAAAGTTAGTACTATATATGTCGATTGAATTTTATGTCCTCATTTCTATGTTGTTATATTTTTACTGTTTATATATCCAACTAACGGTCCCCTTTTTTCACTCATTTTCGAAAAATTATTGCAATAAAGCTACAAACTAATCTAAAATTGCAACTAGATAATTAACTAGATTAAACATTTCTCTACAAAACGAAAAGTGTCTCGGCTCTGAACGTTAATTCGACATTAGACGAGCTGGCAAAAATTGAACAAGTATACCAGTTTGTAGAAAATTGTTTGCTCTACAAGATGTGATAGCTTTTTAAGTTCAAAACTATTCTAATCAATCTATATTAATCGAAGAAAACCAGAAAAAAGGTGATGCTGAAACAAAAAACGGTCAATTAAGCAAATGAACCTTTAAACCTCGAAACATTGAAATATTTAGTTTTTAATGTAATTATATGTATTTCAATAAAATGAAAATTACTGCTGTGACTCTATTATTCTTATTAAAACAAAAATTTTATTAAGTTCTCTTGTTAAATAGGTATCTTCTGCAAAATTACGCAAAAATTATAAATAATCTTAGTTAGCTGCGATTTTTACGTACTTTTCAAATAATAAAAAATTAATCATTTCGTTTTGCACAATAACACACATCATCGCTCAAACAGTGACTCATCATCCCAAATCTCAAAAACAAAATCCGATGTAGTTTTTCGAGCTCTTTCCATTGGTGAGGTTAACGTTGTCATTTTTCCCTTAATCGTTTTTACGACGAAAGTTCGTGTCTTATATCCTGATCGGGATATAAATTCGATTAAAATTTGTTAATGGTTTTTGTTCGAAAAAATAGTTGCTCGGTGCTTGATGCACTTTTAATCAAATACAACAGAGTCCGATGTAGTTTTTTGAGCTCTTTCTAATGGTCACGCTAATTTTTCCCCATAACGTCGTCATCCTTCCATTAATCGTTTTTACGACGAAATTTTGTGTTTTATATCCCGATCGGGATATTAATTTTTTTCTATATCCTGATCGGGATATATATCCCGATCAGGATATGGGAGGTATCCCCTTACTGCTACAACAATATCTGATGTTTTGCTGATATAGATGCTTTAAGCGATTTTGCTTCGGAGGACGAAATTTTATTTGATCTCGGAGCAACATTCGTAATTCAGACAATCGAACCCGATCACGAGTTGTTGCGTAATCAGAATGCCCGAGACTGATCAAGTAGAAGAAGTTGCTCGAGAATACACTGAATCAAAGAAGAAAGAAATGAAACGATCGAGTCCTACGCTTGTATTCGGTGATCTTCTCATAGACATTGGTGAATATTCTAAAGCGCTTACGTACTTCACAAGACTATTAGATGATCCGAAGGACGGAGATCTAGTTTCGATCTACTGTGCAATTGGACGTGCTAGTTCAAGAAGAGGTGAATATAAAGAGTCATTAAATAACTGTGACCGCGCTCGTGATATAGGGATGAATGAGAACCAATCACAGACAACAAAGACTGCAAGCAATATCGGAAGACGTTGCCCTTGTTTATCTTGCAACAGGTGATTATGATCAAGCCTTGAAATATCAATTGAGAGCGTTAGAAATGAAACAAATCTCCCTTTCGCCAAGCCATGACAATATAGCTAGAAGTCTGACGAATATTGACGTTGTTTATCATGCAAAGGGTGATTATGGTCAAGCACTGGATTATTATATGAAAGCATTGAAGATGCAAGAAATCTCTCTTCCTAGGAACCATGCTAGCACAGCGAACACTCTAATGAACATTAGCCTTGTTTATCATGAAAAGGGTGATTATGATCAAGTTTTGGATTATTATATGAAAGCTCTCGTAATACAGGAGAGCTCGAAAAGAAATGCTGTAGCTGCTGAGCTGCAGTATAGAACCGGAGCATGTTATGTGGAGAAAGGTAGTTACGACCTCGCTTTGCTGCACTTCAACGAATGTTTGAAAATATATGAAGAATATTGTGACGATTCAAATATCGCAATGATGCATGTGAAAATTGCGCAGCTCGGAGGACAAATACAAGACTATGATTTGGGTGTAGAGTATTTTGCGAAAGCTTTAGTATTACTGGAAAAATTGAATATGAAAGATGTTGCCAGTTTACACAACGGGATCGGATGGTATTATTATATGAAAGGGGATTTTGATTTGGCTACTGATATTGCACTATATCGATGGAACTATATGAGGAGTGTTCATTATGTGAGGATCCAGAATGTGCAAATGTTCTTAACAGTTTAGGTCGTGTTAGTTTCGCAAAAGATGATAATGATGAAGCTATTGATCATTGTTCAAAGTCGATGAAGTTATTTAAAAGTAAAATGCTATTTGATCATCCTGCTGTTGCTGATAATTATGAGGTTTTCGGGAATATATACAAGAAAAATGGTCAAAACCTTCTTGCTTTTGAATAGGGGTGTTAATTCAGTGTCACTTTAGAAAAATAAATGTAAATGAATCATTTATATTTAAAAAATAAATATAAATAAATCAAAAAAAAATTTATCTTTATTTTATAAAAGTAAATGGTTTATTTATATTTATTTTTGGGTGTCAATTGTTTTGATCACCAAAAAAAGATACTTTTGATCACCAAACGCTTTTACGATTAGTGTTAATAGCAACAGCAGTTAAAGACATGACTAAAGTTTTTCATATCTGAGATGCTATTCATTTGTGTTATGATATTGTGGTCAATAAATTTGATGTGGTACCTGTTGAAGAACAAGAGAAATTTAAATAACAAATAGATGAAAAAATTCGTGAATGTGACTTAAAGGTGTCAATCATGTAAGGTATGTTAGTGCAACAAATCCAAGACAATTTCCTTATTAGTTGGTTATGTTAGATTCATTGGCAAGTTCTCCACAAAATGTTTCTGATAATGATGAACCATTTGATTATGTTGTATACGAATAAACTAATTACATGATCAACTATATTTTGATTCATATGATTTAACAAAAAATTACAGAAACTAGTTGAATCTATTTTGAATATTATCTCTTTTGAGCGTTCAGAATTGTCATTGAGAATAAAAGTCAAATTGTTCATCTAATTAGTTAAAATCTATGAAAGTGTGCTTTATTTCGTTTGCTGTAATTTTTAATTTCCTTTAAATTCAGAAATCATTTTTTCTAATGTTAGTTTATTAAGTATCGCTAAAAATTTTTGACACATTTAACTTGACATACCTCGTCGATGTAGTTAGAATGAGAAAGTTGTCACGCAGAAGGAAAATATGAACGATGTTATCTATGATGTCTCACAGACTTTTATAAGATGCACGGAAAGCAAACTTGCAGTGAAATTTATTTTCGAACATATAATACATCCTTGGATAGAATATATGTACCTTGATTTTTTTTGACACTTTTTTTGGTCAAAAAATTAAAAAAACTCGAAAGGTGTCAAAAATTGAAGGTTTTTCGTCTTTTTTGAAATTATGTTATGAGATGGATTGTTCTGACTTGTTTCCCCCGATCCAGCATTGAAAACTGAATTAGAAAATGGTCTTCGAACACTTTTAGAACAAAACATCTATTCATAAAAATTTACGCAATGTCCATGGCTCAGAAACAGAACACAATTTTGCAAGCTTGTCACAGGTTTTTTCAGAGGTGCCAGAGCCAAAATGTTTACATGGTTAGATCCGCTAGATGATCAGCTTCAAAGTTACTCAAAGCTTTTCCAAAAATTCCTTTCCTCGCTGAGAAAAATCATTTTTTTTAAATCAGCGGCGAAAAAGTCGGCATTCTGCCAATAATTCTCAATTTTCTCGATCAGAACTCAACCTTTAGGCAATAAAAATATCGCATTCGGAATCAGAATCAAAAGCTGAGTCTATTGACGTGTATTTCGAAATTTTTAGTTGATTTTCAGTTTTGGGCAGCAGAATGCCGACTTTTTCGCCGCTGATTTAGAAAAAATGATTTTTCTCAGCGAGGAAAGGAATTTTTGGAAAAGCTTTGAGTAACTTTGAAGCTGATCATCTAGCGGATCTAATCATGTAAAAATATTGGCTCTGGCGCCTCTGAAAAAACCTGTGACAGGCTTGCAAAATTGTGTTCTGTTTCTGAGCCATGGACATTGCGTAAATTTTTATGAATAGATGTTTTGTTCTGAAAGTGTTCGAAGATCATTTTCTAATTCAGTTTTCAATGCTGGATCGGGGGAAACAAGTTAGAACAGTCCATCTCATAACATAATTTCAAAATAGACGAAAAACTGTCCGTTTTTGACACCGTTCGAGTTTTTTAATTTTTTGACCAAAAAAAGTGTCAAAAAAATCAAGGTACATATATTCTATTCAAGGATGTATTATATGTTCGAAAATAAAATTTCACTGCAAGTTTGCTTTCTGTGCATGTTATGACTGTCGAATTTTTCTTGATGTCTTATCGAATGATTTTTCTATTTCTTTTTAGTTACTCTATTTTTAGTCTTTTGTCCTTCTTCGTTCTTCGACATGTAACGTCATACAGCCAACCCTGTTTTTGTTCTTTCAGTAGGATGAAGGTAAATACATCCTCTGCTTTGATAATCACAACATGCGCACATTGCTATTGTCGTTTTTGGTTTGCACTTTGACTCTCTTCTTCTAAACTTTACTTTCAGGGGAAACACATGCGCTGTCCTATTTTCAGATGAAATGATCTTCGATCTATCAAGCCTTCTTTTCAGATTCATTGTTCCTCCCTTTCGTAGCATGTCTTCAGCTGTACCTTCCCATAGTCCTAATCTCGCACAGAATCTTGAAAAAAATGAACTGTATCAAATTGGTCCTGGTTTTTGGAATGTTCGTGGTCATTTCAAAGTTCTCGCTAAACTTATCGATATTGAAACGCAAATGTCAATTATTCAGTTGCGTAATGGAAACTTTCTTATCGTAGACACAGTCGAATTTACTGATCGTCTTCGAGCTGAAATCAATCATTTAACAGAGAATGGACAACGAATTGAAGCAGTTATTGGTACACATCCATTTCATACTCTATCATTTCCGGCTTTCTACGAAGCATATCCACATGTAGCTTACTACGGAACACCGAGACACTTACGTCGATTAACACAAATTCCATGGGTTGGAAATCTCGATGATTGTGATGTCAGAAAAAAGTGGGAACCAGATGTAGTAATGCGTATTCCGGCAGGTTAGTCAGACAACAACAAATATGTTTCTCGAATTATTGGAACAATCCAAAAGCTTGATTTAGTTCGTGTATCTAATTGTTTATAACACTTCTTTTTTTCTAGTACCTTCTTTTAAAATAACCTCAAAAATTCTGTAACAATGACGGTCAAATGTAATTAGTTATAATCTAAGCACTTCTACTATTCCGTATAGATACAGCACTTAGAAAAGTTGGGAATCGTTCGTAAAACAGCAATATGCCACTTTTAGTATGTGAGTGCAAATTTTTTTACTGAAGTCGTATAAACGGATTGACAAGTAAACAAACTCGTGCAGCCGAGGCAGACCAGTTATTGACATCAAAAGAAAAGCATATCTTTTTTTGTCTTAGGTGCCGAATTTGTCAATCCTCAACCTGAATCATCCAATCACTTTATATGTGTGTTTGTCTTCCATCCTGCTTCACATACTCTTCACGTCGATGATACTCTAATGTACGTAGAGAAACCGGGCTTTCTTCTTAAATTATTTGGTTACAAGCATGGTGCATTCGCCTTTCATCCAACGATCAAAGGGCCTGGTCTGCATCCGACAGCTGATGCGCCGTATTTATTTCGTGACTGGATGCGCAATATGTTGCGTGACTGGCCTTTTGACAATGTATGCTGTGCTCATATCGGTGTAAAGGTGGGCGGAGCACATGCCGATGTTGTCACACTTCTTGACAAAGCTGAGTCGTTGTTTACTAAATTGAGCAAAAAGAATCGCAAGAAGAACCCGGAAGGTGAACTGCCGCCTGGTAATCATCCTAATATGAATGTCAGCGGAGATGAATGTGGATGATTCTATTCAAATTTTAAAATAAAGACTATTTTTGATCTTTTTCCAGATATTAGTCATGTAGCTCACGTGTTCATGTAACTTTAAACAATCGAGACGAGTACAGACGATACTGCTTGAACAATATAAATATTAGACAGAACAAATATAAATGACATTCACGATCGTATTGTATAACAGACATGACCCATTCGTAAAAGATTTTAATATATGACGATTGCTTAGTGAAGATACAAGCAGACGATTGAAAAAGACAAACAATATGTTAACCTTCGACTGTTTTTCTCAAAATGTATATATACCCACATTTCAATAAAATACACGTCGATCCTAAGGAATTTAGCGAACATATAATAGACTCAAACATTAAACTTGCCTTTACGTGTACACAACCATGTATTCGATGCGAGTCAGTGATCTATTAGAAAACAACTCGATTTATCTGAAAAATATGAATTTTAAGCTCTAACGTTCACGATATAGAATTGCAGCAGTATCAGTTCGGATTTCGTTCCAAATCGTCCACTGCTGACGCTCTTCTATACATCACACATTCTATCTACACCAATCTCGATCAGGGAATAGACACTGCTCTTGTTCAATTTGATTTTGAAAAAGCCTTCGATCGTGTACCACATCAGATTCTACTGACTAAACTTTCCGCTCTCGGAGTAACGGGTTCTGCATTTAAGTGGTTCTCTAGTTAACTTTCTAATCGTTGTCAGCGGGTACGAATTGAAAACTCTTATTCGAATACGATTGCTGTTCCATCCGGAGTGCCACAAGGTTCCATCCTTGGACCACTTCTTTTCTTAATTTTCATAAACGACCTGCCTGCTATTATTGTACCACCTGCATCATGCGCCTTATTTGCAGATGACTGTTCTTTGTTAAGTCCCGTTTCTGATCTTTATTCAGTTTCAGTCTGTCAGGAAAATATTGATCGTATAAATATATGGTGTCAATCACACCTTATGTCGTTAAATTACAGTAAATGTTCATGGTTACTTTTTTCGCACAGACCTCAAAACAAAGCGTATTC